CTCACACTCTCCTATTCAAATTGGCCTTATTATTCCTCATATAATGTCATTCCATCTTTGCACTTCTTCCCTGATTGCTCCTATACCTGGAATGCACGTTCACCTCACCTTTACCTCTTAGATTCCTTTGGTTTCATTGACATTCTGCTTAAACAACACCTTTGGCATGAAACTTTTCCTGATACCCCAGAGGCTAATGACCTCCAAAAATTTTCCTTATTTTTATTTTGTATGTAGTTTAGAGAATGATAGGTGGTGCAGTGGATAGAGTGCTGAATCTAGAGCCAAGAAGATCTGAGTTCAAATCTAGTCAATGGCACTTACTAGATTGTGACCCTGGGCAAATCACACAACCACTGCCTCAGTTTCTCCATCTATAAAGTGGAGGTGATGATAATAATAATAAGACCTCCCAGGGTTATTGTGAGAAAAAATAAAATTTGTAAAGCACTTTACAAAACTTAAAGTGCTACATAAATGGAATTATTATTATTGTTACTGTTTTTATATGCTTATTTATATATATGCTATCTCCCTTGATAGAATATAAGTTCCTGTAGAACAAGGACTACTCCATTTTTATCTTTGTCTCTAGCACCCAACAAAGTGATTGGCACATAGTAGGTCCTTAATAAATGTTTAATGATTGAGTTATTGATACTAGGATTCATAAACAAAATAAGATAAAAAATATAGATGTTAATTAAGCTTAGTTCCAAGGTTCTAAAAAGCTGAGATCTTGTGAGGAGCAGGTGTGTTACACTGAAGTCTGTGCCAAGCTGTACTGACAGCAGTTTACCATGTCCATGTGAGAGAGTTCTGCATGCCTGATCAGGAAAGTCCAAGCAGAAAATACACATTAGTAACTCACAATTATTCCCACAGTGAGTAATGGAGTCTAATTAGGAATCTGATTTTCAGTAAATTAGGATTTTACACTAGCTATAACCCCAATTTCTCGCATCTGTCTAGTCTCATGAACTGCTGCATCTGTTGTTAATCTTAACGTCAAAGGCCATATTCTACCCTTGCCATAGCAACGTGGATCAGCTTGAAATCCCAGTAGCTTAAGAGGTCAGGGGACAAAATAGCAATAATGAAACACATTTTTATGGTGCATGAAATGATTACGAAGAACTTTTACATATATTATGTCACTGGATTCTTATAATGCCATGAGGTTTGTGCTACAAGGACTATTGCTTTTACAGATGATGAAAAAGAGGCTCAAAAAGGTTAGGTTGCTTGTTCAAGGCCACATAGCTAATAAGTATTTAAATGCAAGACTTTTAATCCCAAGCCTTTCTGCCATCACAGAATCTAAAGGTAGGATCGGATCTTAGAGGCCGTGAAGTCCAACCAGTACCTGAGTAAGAATCCCCTCAATAATGCACCAAAGTGGCCAGTTAGCTGTTGTTTAAAGCATTTTAGTAAGAGGGGGAACCTAAATACAACCCAGGGCAGCTCATTCTGCTCTTGGATAGCTCTAAGCATTAAGTGGTTTTTCCATACATCAAGCCTCCAGGCTTCTTTCAACTTACAGCCATCATTCTAAGCCAAGGATAGTGTCTTATGGCACCTTGCTTGAGGGAAAGCTCACTTGGTGATGGCACATACATTGGTTCTAGTTGCACTTTTGTCTGTGCCTTTCCCCTGCCTTCAAGCTGATGACTTTGGCCTCACTTAAATGCAATAGATATGCTTGTGATTTCATAGGTCCTCTTTGAGAATGAAGGATGAACAACAAAACAGCAATGCTGCAGATTCACCTCTCTTTTCTCCTTCCAATCCTATATAAAGAAAGAGAAATCAGGCTATATCTGTAGCATTTTTAGGCAGGATGCAGTGGAGTGTATAAGGTGGTAAACTTGGATCAAACTCAAAACCAAGAAAGGAAAACTCAGAGTTAAGTTAAACCATAATCTAAGAGCCATCATGCAATGAAACAGGCTCCCTTGAGAAGTGATTGAAAAGTAGAAATATCATTCTTAAAGATGGAAGAGATTTCAAGAGATTATCTGGTTCAGTTCCTCTGTTCAGGAAGATGAGGTACTCTTAGTATTTTTAAGATGAGGCACTCAAAACTCTGAAAGGTGAAACTATATGTCCAATGTCACACAGCTGGTAAATATGTGAGGTAGTGGAGTAAGGCTTGATTTTGAGGATAGAAGCCATGGATCCAAATCCAGCTCTGCTACTAACTTTCTGTGTGATATTGGACAAATCACTTAATTTCTCTAGTCCTTAACTTCTTGATCTGTAAAATTAGAAGACTTAGCTAGACTCTCTCTAATATCCTTTCCAGCTCTAAAATCTCATGTTTTCTAAACAATGGAGTGAGAAATCTGTTTTCTCCCCATCTAAGCATTCTTTTCATTATCCATGCTACTCTGTTCTCAAAGATTTTCAAGGACTATTAGAAAATACTCAAGAGACAACACTATCGAATGAATATTTTTCATCATTGAATGAATAAACAGATATTCAATAAATGCTATCAAATGAACCATATTCATGAAAAACCATTTATTAAACATTTACTATCTTCTGAAGACTGTGTTAAGTGATGGGGATACAAATAGAAAATCAAAGTAGTCCCTTATTTTAAAGAAATCATATTTTAAATGGGGGAGATAGCACATTTGGGAGGCTTTAAGTTAGGGTGCAGCTATAAGCACAGATGATAAGGACTATTATCTAAGTCATCTTGGCAGGAAAAGTAGTAATCCCTGGAAATTTGGAGGGCATGTTATCAGGGCATATTGTAAGGTTCTTTACCCGTCTTCTCTGGATGCTAACCCCTCCAATCACTAAATAAAATAAAAATGCATGTAAGAGTATTTTAAAATGAATAGAAATAGACTCATGGTGGTTTGACCATATTTAAGTGAGGAGACAAAAGTGAATCATATGGGGGGAACAGTAAAGGTTTAAAAAGTTATTTTGGTCTTCCAGAGGCAGAAAGGTAAAGATCCTATTACCAGAAAAGGCATTTAGCACCCAAGTAAGATAAGAAAGTAATGTCCAGGGGCAGCTAGGTGGTGCAGTGGATAGAGCACCAGCCCTGAAGTCAGGAGGACCTGAGTTCAAATCCGGCCTCAGACTGAACACTTGATGCTTACTAGCTGTGTTACCCTGGGCAAGTCACTTAAACCCAATTGCCTAAAAAAAAAAATAAAAGAACAAAGTAATGTCCTGTCTGAATTATTCCATCTATGACTGACATGCCAGTTCAAGAGTGTGGGGGTAGCATAGGGGTGGGGGAAAATGTCATTTACCTGTACACACACATATTGCCACTACATTCTAATTTATAGCAACTCTAACCCCACACTATTCTCAATATCTGAACTTATATATTTTTCAAAGTATTAAGACCTAAGATTTTATTCAATGATTAGTTTGCACAAGACATGTAACATCACTATATACATTCTTCAAGTCTAAATAAAGGTGTTTTTTCCCATTATTTTAGCTAAAAAAAGCAAACCCAAGTTAGTTACTTTCGTTGTACCATAGACCCCCTCAGCTTAACTATAAAATAACATGGAAATAGTGGAGTAGACTTCCTACCTTTAGATAAATCACAGTTGGCCCCAAGCTGAGAAGGAGGAATTTTCTCTCTTGAGATAGATTTGGGAGGGTTGGAAAATACCAATCACAAATAGGCTGAAAATGGAAAATCTTCTTCTTGCTGCAGATGCCACTAAGCCAGAAAAGCTTTAATTAGGAAACATAATTACATTTCCCAGTTTGTTCACCCTGAATATTTCTTCTGTTCTTCAGAACTTCCAGGATGTATGCCTGGGAGAGGATAAATGTTTGTTCTTATGTAACTCATGACCTTGTAACTTGAGCTCCAGGCTTGAACAGAAGAGATTTAATCCTGGGGTGCCCCTTCAAAGAATCATATCATTTTGGTTTAATTTATCCCCACCCACAATTTCCTTTGAGAAACATCATAATAAAGCTCATGTCTGGATCTCCACAGATATGGGTAAAAGAACACACTGCTCTCATGCAAGAACTTGATTGCAATGCATATTGGGTATAGACATCATTTGTTTCATCCCCCCCCAAAAAAGTAGAAAACACACAAATGACTCACAATAGACCATAAACAGTCAATATAATTATCCTCCCTCTCTGGTTAAGCCCACCTTAACCTCAGTGTCCTGTTTAGCCACAAGACTTGTAATATTAACCCCATAGTTTGGACTCCTCTCCTGAAGAAAAGTGAACTGTCTGTGAAGTATTACTGAGTGAGGCAAGCCCCTTCCCATAAGACTTTAACAAATCCTAAAAAATAAATCAAGGATTCACCCTCAAATCCTCTTACCCCCAAATTAAGTGTTTGTTCCATTAGACTGAATTCTCTTTGTATTGTAAAGATTTTTATTGTTACTTTTTGAGAAGTATAAATCTGGTAAGTATTTCTGTTTGGTAAAAATGTATTATAGGTGTATTATATTATAAGTGTATTGTAAGGTACCTGCCATTTCTCCTGCCAATATCTTTGACTAAGAATGGCCCCACATATGGTAAATTACTTTTTCTTCTCTCTTATTGTTTCTTAGGCCAATTAATAAAAAAAACAATCTAATGCTAATCTGATCTTACATCTCTATTGCTAACTGTTCCATGTAATTATAAATTCATCAAATATATTTCAAATACTTGCATATTATAGATTCAAGATATCAATGACAAAATTATGTTAAATACTCTCATTTTAAGATAATTTGGCACTTATTCTTTGAATACTTAATCAGAAGCACAGTATAATGGAATAAGTTTTCAGAACTGAGCTCAGAAATTCACTCATACAGACTTTCTTTGTATCTTCTCTGTAGTGTGATTTATGTCATAAATTTTTGTGGATTTGTTTTGTAGAGAACTATGGCATAAATTCTGCTTCCCTTTTGAATGGATACCACCATACATGGCCTGAATGTCCTACTGCTTTCCAGGAATAAGGAAAAGACCTTCTAGTTGTCTTTCTCTGCATCAGCTTGGCAGTGAAGCAGCTCTTGAATGGGTCAAGGTTCCAGAAAACTATCACTTGAATGGGATCAGTTCCTTTCCTTTTAAAATATCAGAAATTGAGCCCTGGGAAAGGAGATTTAGCAAAGATGACCCATTTACAAGCTGGACTCAGTCCAGAGACTATAGAGAAAGCTCGTCTGGAACTGAACGAAAATCCAGATATATTGCATCAGGATATTCAGCAAGTCCGGGACATGATCATCACCAGACCTGACATTGGATTTTTACGTACAGATGATGCCTTCATCTTGAGATTTCTTCGAGCCAGGAAGTTTCACCAAACAGATGCCTTTAGACTATTGGCTCAGTACTTCCAGTACCGCCAGCTAAACCTGGACATGTTCAAAAACTTCAAGGCTGATGACCCAGGAATCAAGCGGGCTCTGATTGATGGATTCCCTGGAGTACTGGAAAAGAGAGATCACTATGGCAGGAAGATCCTTTTGCTCTTTGCAGCCAATTGGGATCAGAGTAGGTAAATGTAGATAGTGTCTTTATTTTTTTTCTTTTTTTGAAAATACATATACACAGAATTATTCCCACTTGGGATATTTTGTCCTCATATAATGAGCATTTCATGGACTACATTCATATGTGGAGCCAAAGCATGTCTTGAAATTTAATCTTCCATTGTCCAAAGGGCTTCATTGTCATTAGTATCCCTTCTTCAATTTACTGCAGCATTCTAAGCAAAGTGGACCATTTATTTTAATGAAATTTGATTGTCCTTCTAGAAGTAAGAGACACAGTGGTTCTCTCCTGTGAAAAAAAAGTTGGCTCAGTAAGTCACTAAAAATCAAGTGTGTGCAAACAAAACAATTGCCCTCAATGCTTTCCTTTCTCTCTGATGATTTCAGTGTCCCATCTCCAAATATCTATAAGATGTTTCCTGTGGTTTAGCTTTCATACAACACTATTTTTGGAAATAAAACTAGGCTTTGTAAAGGGACTGCATTAAACTCAACAAAATAGGCCAGGCAAGTTTTGTAATATTAAACCAGTTGTCAGTGTTAAGAGCAGGTAATAGCTGGTACTTATTCTCACCCATCCTGGAAACTAATTGAAAATGTATACTTGGCCTTCAGGCAAAATTTTACTCTGAGAAAACATTTTATTGGTAAAAAACTCATTTGTTCTAAGGTTGGTCAGGAATGTAGATATGATTAGGCTATATATTGTTCTTTCCACTTTTTCTATGCTATAAAGTAGTAATAAGAGGAAATTATCCAGACACAACTAAGGAGCCTTTGATGTTCCAGTACCTGGAAACATTTCTAAGTCTTTTCAAGTCATAAGAACCTATAACATAGAAAACTAAAGTTGAATTGGCAGAATTTGTCATTCTCTGTGCCATGAAAGTATGAGCATGGAATTTCATATTTGGGATTATGAAAAGCAAGGAAATGTGGAAGCTTATGAAAAGACTTATCATGCTGATTCCATTCAAGTCTATTCTATAAAAGTATTCCATCATTTGAGGCAGATGATGAGTTTAATATCATTAAGTGGTGTTTTACTTATAATAAATTCAGAGGGTGGTACTGTGTCTAGTTGTGATAGACTCTATGGTTAGTTTCTAGTATTGAATATTTTGAAAAACAATTGATGGATACAAGAATGAATAAATGTCAGGGGAAATAATAAAAGATGGTCCTAAAAAAAGTCTGAGACTCACACCCAAAAAGTGGTCTCTTTCATTCTTTGGTCACTAGGCTCTTGTATTTTCCATTTTCTAAACAAGGAGTCAACGCCAACATAAAGCAAGTTCTTCCAAATTGAAATGTACTATTTGGTCATAACCTTCTTTCCCCTTTCTCTAAGAGAGTGAGACACAGGCTGCTTCAGTGAGAGAGAGAGAGAGAGAGAGAGAGAGAGAGAGAGAGAGAGAGATTGGATAGAAAAGACAGGGAGGGACAGACAGAGACAGAGAAAGATAGAGATAGAGAAAGAGCCAAAATATACTCACACAGAAAGAGAGTCAGACAGAGAAAGGAGATAGAGACAGAGAAATGGAGGGAGGGAGGGAATAAAAAAGGAAGGGAGGGAGGGAAGAAGAGAAAGAGCATAAAGGGAAACTAACTTGTTAAAAAACCTATCAGTGCTTAGGTCAGATATGGAACACTTTTCTGAAAGCTATCAAAACAAAGGTGCTAATAAAGATGAAATAAAGAATAAAATCTAGTTCCCTGTATTGTTATTTCCAATTATATATATCTTTTTGTTCTCTGCCAAAACTCTGCCTCAGAGGGATTCCAAAGGCCTGCCGAGTGATGAGTTCATTTTGTTCTCACTGAGCTAAAGACTGTGAAGTGATAGGAAAGTATTATAGGAAAGGTTTATTGGGTATTAAAATGGTTATTAATATGTATTAAACTATGTAAATCTTATTCATGTAGGCCTAGATGTTTCAAAGGGAAAGTGTAGGCAGATGAGTGATGGGATCACTTAGCCTCCCAGGGAGGGTTCCCTGCCTCTTTGACTTGTCCTATAGATTTGTGAATATTGCAATAGTTTTGGAATTGGAAAAACAAATAGCAGTCTTTACATTGTGACTGAAGAGGAACTAGACTTCTCCAGAAAATAGACATCTTCCTATCTACTTGTTTTTTGCCCTGGCCTTGTCAGAATTACCAAAGTCAGACTACTGTTTCATCAAAGTTATTTCAGTTTAGCTAATGACATTCAGAGAGTTACTCACAAAATGAAACTGGCAATTTTTGAAATGGCAGCGTTTAACTCTAGTATTTAATAAGGAATAAGAAGCTTAGTGAGTCCTTTGATCCTAATCAGGTGAAGCCAGAAGTAAAAAAAAAAAAAAACACTTTGACAATGATAAAACTTTACTATCAGCCCTTTTCGTCTTTGTAACATCCTTGCAAAAACACATTGGTTACTGTTCATTTATGAGCTCATCTTTAGAGCTGACATCATTGCCTTCTTCAAATATCATCTGTTTGTTATTGCTTTGTCCCCAGGTCTTTTGGTTGAACAATAAACAAGGAATCATGGATCTCTTATTTCTGGCATGGTCAGTGATGGACCATGGCAGAATCAAACTATATACATCAGTATGGAAGGATTCCACTTATGCTTATCAAGGAATAGAGTTGCTAGAGGCAACACATCCTTGCCAATATCACCCAAATTACCTAGAAAAATGGAAAAAAAATTCAAGCTATCCCACAGATGATCTGGAAAATATACAATTAGTCTCTGGGTTAGCCCAACCCTGGTTAGGAGACCATGGTAAACCAACTAATCTTAGTTTCTTTACTTGTAAACCACAATAGAATTGGGTTACCATACAAAGATTGAAAAAAATTCTTTGAGGTACCCAGATACAAGAAACTGTGGAAAATAAAGTATCAACATGTACTGCGTGCCTCATAGCCACATATTATGTCAGTGTCCCTTGATGTTGGAAATGAATCTTTTGAAAAATGGTAGTCACAATATATAGCTTCCAACTTTTCAATGACCAGGTCTCCATGACTGTATTGTGAACAATTCTATACTCTTATTTGAAAAGAGATGTGGAGAAATTGGAGAAGGACTAGAGAAAAGCAATGGAAATAATAAACAGGTTGGAAAATAAGATCTTTAAATAAAATAGGGTCTTTAAAGGAAAGAAAAGAGAGTAAGGGTAATTTAGTTTGAAAAAAGAAGGCTGATGAACAACTTAATTACCACGTTCAAGTATGTAAAGAGCTATTATAAGAAGGGAACCGATCCATTGTTCTCTATCTCCAAAGAAGATAGAACTGGAAGAGATAGCTTTAAATTGATACTAATACTCAATTGGTATGACATTCTGAGCAATGGCCTCAAGTTGATCAATAACCAAAAAGTAGGAATCCTCAGTAGTGCTGGTATCTACAAATTATGGCCCCATTCTGTTATCAGAGTTGCAGAATTTTAGAGCTAAAAGGGACCCTCAGTGGCCATATGCTCCAACCTACACCTTCCCAAAACCTGACTGAAATAAGCCTGGCAAGCGGTCATCTAGCCTTTGCTTAGAGAGCTCCAATGAAAGAGAGTCCATAACCTCCCCAAGGAGCTCATTCCACTCATGGAAAGTTCTAATTGTTAGGAAGTAGTTGCTGACATCAAGTTTAAATTCATCTCTTTGCAACTTCTATCCCATTGTTCCAAGTTCTGCTCTCTGAGGCCAAAGAGAACCGGTAGCATGGAAGGAAGTAAAAGCAGGAAAAGTTCTGAGTAGGCTTTGTCACAAACCAGCTATGAAAATAGTAAGCAAGTCTCTTAACTTCTCTTGGCCTCAGTTTCCCCATTTAGAAAATGAGAAGACTGTATTAGATGAATTCTGAGGTCCTTTCTAGCTCTAAATTGAGTCAATTCAATTTAAGGACCTTAAAGATTTCACACATTCCATGTCTATCATTCTATGACACTAAATCTTAGTTCTTTCATTTAGCATTTTAAACAGTTGAATTACCTCTGTGTACCCAACAAGAATATTCTGTAACAGTCTTATTATTTTGCACAGCAATAAAACTAGCAAAGATTCACTAACCTCAAAGGCACACATAAATATGAACTGTCAATTTTCAGGACCTGGAGAATAGTGAAAACAATTTTAATTACCAAATTGCTATTTCATGTCATTTGTTCTCTTCTTTATGTTACTTTAGTAAAATAATAGGTAGCAATACAGCAAAACATTGGAATAGGAAATAAGCTATGTAACATGGTACAATATGACAAATTTTTGCTAACATTTTTAGCTAGATTTTTTTTATTTCAGAGAAAAGAAAAACTACACTCTTTAAGAATAGATGGTCTTTATGCTCCCTCTCAGCTCTAAAATGCTATCATCACAATCCAATCTAACAAGTATTTAACTACAACAACAGAATAGTCAACATGTGGACTGCCTCAAAAGCTAATGAAATATGTTTCTCTTCACTGGAGGTCTTCAAGTGTGGATGATCACTTGCCAGTTAATTGATAAAGGAGATTCTGGGCCAAGTAGATTGGACTTGATGGCATCTGAAGACTATTCCAATTCTGAGATCTAGTGATCAGTCAAGAGATAATTGCAGATGTAGAAGAGCCACTAACTGTGTGATTTAAGGTCTATTCTAATTCAAGTCTTCTTCAAGGTGTCTTTGGTGAGATTGATCTACTCCTGCAGGTTCAGATTTCCTTCAGAAGTGAGTCAGTTTCATATGTCTACATGGTTTCTATTAGGACCTTTTAGGCACTCCTCATGAACTAGTATCCCTAGGAGCCCTAGTGAAGTCATTTCAAACCTCTGAGGATTAAATAGAAAAGGGTTTCTTAATCTTTTTGTGTGTCACAGACCCCTTTGGAAGTCTATGGACTCCTTTTAGAAATAATGCTTTTAAATAAATAAAATAAAATACATATGATTGCAAAGGAATCCAAATATATGGAAACACAGTTATTGAAATATGTTTTAAAATATGTTCCTAGACCATAGGCTAAGAAATA